GGTGAGACGACCGATCGAGAGAGAGGGCCATTCGATAGGGCCGATTGTCTTGCTTCTTTTTACCTTTAATTTCTTAAATTCCAGTAGAATAGAATATCGCTGCTAATTATCGCTGTTAGTAAATATAAAATAAGCTGTGAAAGTAACTAGGTTACAATTAATTGAACTTATCGATTACAATTACGATTATGAAATTACTTACTGCGAGGATCATTATCGTTAACCTGAACACGAAAGATTGATAATATTCTCTTTCTCAAAGTTATCGGCGCGTATTCGAGAAGAAAATAACGTCGAATCGACGCGATCTGATTCTCGTTCGACCATCTCGTATATCTCGATTTTAAAATCGTTCCAACTCTTCGAAGGGATTCGTCGAACGATTCTCGAGCGTTCCTGTTGCTACGAGAGGTCCAAGTTCAACTCGCAACCGACCTGACGTCGGTGTAATCGAGTAAGCTCCCAGTCTCTTTTATCATTGCACCAGTCACAATTTGTCCTCGTGATCCATCGCTGACTATTAGTTACCGTCTACGCTCGCAAAATTTTAATCTTACAAGCGAGGATGAATTCAACGAATCACTGGCCTTCACAACATCGTCAGATTGTCTTATCCGTTTATCCTTCTTTCGATTGTATTTTTTTTATCTTTTTTTTTTTCTTTTTTTTTTTTGTCTACTTCATTTTCGAATGTATTATTTTTATCTAAATATGATAGAACAATAATCTTAAAATTACATATCTATATATTCTGATTTTCTGAAGGAAAACCGAACGAATTCTTTATAGTTGATTTCTAAGCGCATAGAATATACAAATTGGACTAAGCAGTTGTTAACCGACAACAGTTGACTACACGTGCAATGACTTTTATCATAGTTTAGGTCCTACCGATAGTAACAAGATAATTTTGTCTTTGCAATTGCGCCAATTGTTACTGCAGTTACTATTGATATATTAACAAGATAATTCATTTCACTATCTGAGCATTTATCTAATGCATACGAATAGCGGAGTGCAGCACTTAGAACTGAAGTTCTAAATCTATATCTTCGTTATTGGAGAAACATCATTTTCATGTCGAAAGATTATCGATGCTTAATTATTTCCGGCGGCAAAAGATCACATAGAAATATTTTTTAATTGAAATAGTCTATCGACGAGGTACAATAAAATGTTTTTCTGATATCGTACACGATGGAAGGAAAAAAAAAAAAAGAAGATAATGTTAGGATCGTTTAACTATCTTATTTTTATCATCGCATAAATGCTACTGGTACAACCAAGTTAAGCAGTCCTTCCGTTTGAGGTGGCTTACCTATGATATTGAATAATAGAGTGCAGACGTACCGGCAGAAATAGGTCGATCTAATTCTACCGATCTGTTGCAAAGACCTTTCTAATGGTACTATAGTAATTCGTTGTAACTCATATGTAATTACAGAAATTGTACTTTGATCCCAAAGAAAATCGACTCCGATTGAAATTTCAAAATATAAAAAGAAAATGTTGAATGTAGAATATTACTAAAAAAAAAAAGAGTACGAGTTAAATTTAAAAAAAATGATAAATCAGGAGAAGTCGAAGATCGATGAAAAAAATACATGGCAATCAGCAAAAGCGAGAAGAAATAGTTTCGTTCCTTGTCACGGTGAGGTCCAAGTTCAAATCACCATATCGACCTGGCGTCGACATAATCGAGAAAGCGCACGAGTCGACGACTCTCTTATCGACGAAATCGCGCGGGAAAAACATCTACGTCATACTCCTATCGCTTCAATGATAGAACACAATCGTTAACCATTAATAGCAGATAAATTTCTTCGAGATACGAGATTCTAAGATATTTTTGACGGAAATACGTTTGACTAATTTGGATGCGTTAATCAACTAAAAGAAAAGCCTCGCGGTCAATTCAAAGGCAAGTAGTACATCAACCTTCTACCAGACCATTTCAATTATTATCCTTGTCGTTCATCTTTCATTTCGCAAATGAAATAAAAATTAGAAGATACTTTCTGCATGTTCACGTTTGTCATCGTAAAGCGATAAAACGAAACGCGTGTCTGACGTGTGAGCTGCAGCCGTCCCATCGTCAACGTCGACGTCGATGTCGAAGTCGCTTCCTGCGACGACCATGCGAGCTTCCTGCCAAGTTTAGCCATTGACCTTCTTTTTCATTACCAATCCACCTATAATGAAGTATTCTCGACGGTTCTGCGTACGCAGATTGTTTGAAGTTATACAACGACGTCTTCGAAGACACAACCCAAAGGAAACATGAAAAAGCGATTCTCGAGTCGTTCCGCAAAATACGCCCACGCATATGTGCGCCCTCTTTACCACTTTAAAACTTTGAGCTCTTTCAACAAGATTTACGTGTATTCTTATTTTACTCGAGTTCGTCAAAAATAACTCTGCCCTTCTAATTCTTCAGCCATTTGTTGATCCTTCTTCGACCTCCCATGAAACAAAAAAATAAAAATAAAAATTGGGAAGCGATCATCAAACCATAAGAATATTCTTGAATATTTCGGAGAAATACAGATTCAGATTCTATTCAGCGATCGTTTTTCGTTAAATTAATATTATTTATCCTCTTGGATATCTCACGAAGTTCCGTATCGAGATATCAGCGACGTACAATGTGTCGGCGATCTCATTACGAAAACAAAATTAACGGTCTTTCCTCTTATGGCTCCTCTCTCTCTCTCTCTTTCTCTCTCTCTCTCTCTCTCTCTCTCTCTCTCTCTCTCTCTCTCTCTCTCTCTCTCTCTCTCTTCTGGCTTAAAAGATGGATAGACGAGAATACATGGCATTATCTTATCCGTAAAAGGCGTTAAGATCATCTGATAGATTCATCATTATATTTCTTTACTTTTTTGCTTAGCCGAGTCGTGTCGAACGTAAAGAATTTTGAGTAATAACTCCGTGCTGTCGTTGTGATAAGTGATAAGAGAGTGCCATTAAACAACGATAACCCGAGAAAACAGACGGGGGGTCACGCAGAGCGGCACGCTTTTCTCCCATCTTATTCGTTCTTAAATCCAGGCGTCTATATTTAACCTATCAATGGGATTAGATTCCGAGAAATGGCGCCAAAATAGAAAGAATTTGTCAAGGGATTCCTTCATTTTTTTCCACTAGAAAAATACTTTATCGTTGACGTTGATATGATCGACCGACCTAACACTTTCTACACTTATATCGGGTATTGATTAGTGAATAAGTTTTTCCATCGAGAAGAAGTACGAAGGAATAAAGTACGATTTTGATATCAAACGACGAAAGATGAAATTTTTCTTATCGATAAAAAACATACGACGAACGATAACAATCTAAAATCCGTTCTATTGCATTCCAACGGAAGTGCATAATCGTAAACTTTTTTTATCCTAGTATAAATGGATAAACAGAAAATAGAAATGGCCAAATGCCGCTTATATGCATTAGCTTGTCACCCTTGGGTAACGATTTTGCGTGCTAAATATATATTTAAAAATATTATGAATTTAATACCGACAACGAAGTTGATAAAAATATCAAAGTAATATTTGTTAAAATTTAAATAAAAAAAAATTAAAAAATAAGAAAATAAAAAAAAATTAAAAAATAAGAAAATAAAAAAAAAAGATAAAAAGCAATCGTACATACAAATGCTATCGTTCCTTAGTATTTTTCTTCGTTTCTGTTCTCTTGAGAAGCAAAGCAGAGACACAACACAATGCAGTATATCACGGAAGTATATAAAACTCTGAAAATAGTTATAATAGTTCACCCTCTAGTCAAATGTCTTGGTCTAATCGCAATGAACTTTATCTTTATAAACGATTGTTTACTGTTTAGAAGCTGATCATGGCATTTACGCGTGATCGTGAGCTGTAAACAAAATCTATATCTGTCATTCTCAAGGCGTGATACCGCGTACATACATTTTCGTACGATTATCTAAGCATATTGAAACAAACGGCTCATTATGAACACTTAAGCATACTAGACTTTTCATTTTTTTTTTTTTTTTTTTTTTTTTATCTTTTCTCCTTTTTTTCTTTTTTCTTCTTTTCTTTTTTTTTCTTTTCTTTTTTTTTCTTCGAATCTATCTTCATCTCTCGCACATCCTATTGAAACCATTAATATGGTCCATTAATATTAAGTTGCAAGGAATTTCTTAAGAGGAATCATGCTTTATTAACAACAAATTGTGTTACGAAACTTGAAAAGTTTTGATGCAACAACATATTATGAAAAATATGATATATTATCGTATGCAAGAATCTAAGCTTAACTCGAAAAATGTGCCACGTGCTACGATATTCATTAAACTAGAAAAAAAGTCGTTTCTTTTAACAGCAAAATAGATATCTCGCGCGTTATGTAATGATGATGACTGTGTGCTCTCGACACTTCTATTTGACAGGTCATGGCTGTTTTTATGTTCATATCCGAAGACAATCGAACGAACGAGTTTAATGTTAAATAATCATAATCCTAATCATTAAAAGCCTACCATCGTATAATTCTACCATCCAATAATCACAATAGACGTAATTATACACTTCATAAAGCATTCCTTGTATTATCTGATTTTTTATTGAATGAGTAAAATAAATGCACAGAAAAATACTTTCAAATTAGATTCATTCATTTCGAATACTTAAGAATAGTCAGAAACGTGATTGCATCTTACTTACCGATTTACAACGTACATGTAAGACTGTATTTCATTATCAGGTGTAGCAATAGTGACGCAGAAAAATAAAAATACCGTATATTCGTCCTTACGTAAGGTGTCAGAATCAACCGTTTCGCATTGCTGCGAGGAGCGCCCTTGGATTTTCATCCTGTATCGCAGTCCTGCACCGTGAGACTGCATTTGTAGCAGCTTTACCGACTAAAAGTATGAAATGGAAGGAAACTTCTTCGTAACGTTCTTATCGCATATTTCTAACATTTAATAATCAATAAGCTATATAATCTAATCAACTGACGTAGTGAAAATGTTAAATACCTCTTAATTTTGCGACTCGTTGGACACCGATATTCAATTCTTTCAAATTTATTGAAAGATCTCGATTACTGTTCATTCTGATTTCATGATTTCTAATTAGGTCACTGTTTATAGCTTTCAATTGTAATAATCGCTTTCTCATTTCTTCTACATTTTGCAATATTCGTGCATCTTCTAAGCGAATAACAACATTTTTAAGAAGAAGAGCAGTACTAGCAGCTTCCGCTTGAAGTTTCGCATCGACATCTTTTAACCCTGCAATGAACGAAAATAAATCTTAAATTATTATATTTATATCTCGTCACCTTTGATTAACTTCCGATGACCTCGATACGTGTAACATGAATTATTAAAAAATATGTTAAATAATGAGATATAACCTTTGACGCGTTCTAAAGCTTCTAGCATTTTACTTTCTTCGTTTGGAAATTTTGATTCAGAATTAAGCTCTCTAAGACCCAAATACATTGCCAAAGATTGAACTATATCACCAGCAAACGTCGAGTCTTCCGTCTGTACTGTTATTTTTCCAGAAGGACTCGCTGTAAAGCAATGGACTTTGTTATCTCTTAATCCACGAAGCCAAAGTTCGATCGAGGCAGCGTTTGGCCCTTCTTCCGCGACTTCAAACTCCTCTGCAAGCAGAAGACTTTGATTCAACCATAATGCAATACGCTGTGCTCTCTCAGCAACCTATATGAATATCATGATTCTGATTAATCCTAAGATATGGATCACTATATAGAAATCTCTTTTAATAATTTACCTCTATAGTAATACCGCCATCTATTACCGTTTGGGAAGCTTCCTCTGGATGTGAAATAATTTCATACATACAAAATCTGGGTAATTGTCTTGTCATTTCGAAAACCTATAAGATAAAAGAGTATTAGTATAAAGAAAAAAGAAAAAAAAAAAAAAAGAAAATAATAAATGATATTTATTATTATATTTGTTGAAACTATTCTAGCTGTTTATAAACGTCAAATGTCAAATGCCTGTAATAAATCTGCACCAGGTGGACCAACACTAATTTTTACATGAATATCGATGGGCCCATTTTTTGGAGGACGTAATTCAATTTCTAATTCACCTTGCGGCCTATTTGGATGAGCCACAAGTGTTTCACCCTCGAATACACCTTCTGCAAATACTATGGCACAATAAACCTATGTAAAAAATGATGGTAATTAAAAGAATTATTCGTAATAATTTTAGGATTTAACAAATTAATGTATTACCAAAAGACCTGGTCCGGCTGCAATACCAAGACGGGCTGCACCTCTAGCTGATATTAAACTAACTGCTAGCTTTGTATGATGATACATATTTGGAACCGATGCAGCTCTTTGTCGAAGTTCCATTTGTAACGCTTGTTTCTTAGACAATAATTCACGCATTATTTCACCAGGCTCTGGAGCATCCATTGCAGTTCCAGGCGCATATCCACGCACTAACAATATTACTTTATTATAATAATGATTATCTACTTGCCAAAAGTGAATGAAATTAAATGAAATTTAAATACCTTCTCCAGAAATAGATACGGCAACTAAATCTGGTCTACCTTGTCTTCTATAATCAGCCTCTACAATGCCAGCCACGCCAGTAGACAATTGTATTTTAAATATGACATCTCCGGTGTTACACGATCTTGCATCAACTTTCCCGCTACTCCATCCAGTGATGAGCTCTAACACACCATCTCCATTTATATCAAAATTTCGTATAGACACTGCTCTGTGTTTAGACTAAAAATAAATTAGATAAAGTGGATATAGATCGTTTATTGTAGATGTCTTTTCATCTTTACTTCTCACTTTAACTCGCCAAAGCCTTTGACCAGCTTCATAAACACCTATTGTTCCATTTCCCACTGCATATGCAAATTGTTTATTAGAAAGTCCTGCCAATGCAGTTACCGATGCCGTTTCTTTTGTATCCCACACTATTGCATCTTCTTTCAATAATTTTATTTCAAAATCTTTTGTCCCAATAAGCAACTACAAGTGTTACCGAATTAAACAATTAAATATATAAAATATATCATCATTTATATGAAAGGATTTATCAGATATATATAAATGTTAGCACATTATACCTCATTCTCGTGATCACCTTCAAAATCAAATATTGCAATGGAAGTAACTATGTCACCCATCACTGTCCAAAAAATTTCGGTTCCCTTGGAATCTAAGACGGTTATCGAGCTATTACCACCAATGACTGCTACTTGATCCGATAACCATCCAAGTTTTCCTATCGTTATATACAGTGCACCATCTGTCATCTGTTAAATAAAGATATATTAGCAAAACGTTGTTTATCAAATTATCATAATTGCTAAACCTCTAACTACCTCTTTATAAAAAATATCAGCATTATCCTCTACGTGATAAGCGAGAATGTGCGTAGAAGTTCCTATTAAAAGAATATCTCTTTCATCTTCCCCAAGATGCCCAGTGCATATTGCTGTTACCTAAGAAATGAATAATTTCAATCTTATATTTTCCTTATCCAATATAATATATATTTGTTTTATATTATTCTTTAATATAAAAAATATGTTTTAATTCACATGCTTCTTAGATATCGCCCGACCTGACTATCAATTTGCAATTCAGCAAGTTCCCCACTCCAAGATAATCTTCCATCTGGTTGTTCAGAATCATTGTTCTTAATTTGAGGTTGCCTATGAGGACTGTGTATTAAAATATTTCCTCCAGAGGTTACAGCTGTTAAACAAGCATGAGAACCATCAAATTTTCCACTAGCTACGAGACCTGATTCTATACGTTTTTGAATATTTAATGAAAATGCAGCCATTTAGAAATATTGTAAATTAGATGTATTAAGGTCCAAATAAATAACACCTTCTTCTGCTCCTAATACTAAAGAGTAGACTGTGGTGTATTGATTTTTTCTGCCATATTATATAACACACCTTGATATAAGCTATACATCAAATTTAGTTTGTAAATGATTCATAACAAGGACAAACTTTGCTCCCTTAATAAAAAATCATTACCTACTTTATGATATTTTACATTATGCTAATTTTTTTATAGTATATAACAGTTATAAATACATATTATAATAATATACTCGTATATACTAAATAAAAAACGCTCATATATGATACAATTAAAATGTAATAATGAAATATATGATTTGTTTACGCTTAGATAAATATAATTATACATAAATTTGTGTAAGATGCATATCCTATCGTAACGTATAATATATTTATACTGTACACATTTATTAAAGCAAGAATATAATACAATAATAATTACATGAAAACATACAGAAACGTCTCACACATCAGCAAGATCACAATTTAGGTCACAATATACTCGCAGGTACAGTAAAATAGTCTTAAAAAAGGGAATCACTGTCTTTGACCGCTGCCACTACCACCGGCAGCAGCAGCTTCGGGATTGGTTGCTGATGTTAAAAGAACGAAGATCAATGCAGGAACGATATACATCCACTGAAATATTGGAAAAGGAAATAAATGAGAATTCCAAGTCTAAAGATTATTATGATATGAGTGTAATGGAAATCTTACATATTTCGCGAGGAATGATCTGTTATCTTTGGTCTCTCCTCTTTCTCGAGCTTCACGTTCTCGTTCAAGTTTTTGAATATAAGTCGCTGTATCTGGTGCAGGACCGCTATCAGGATACTTGACTATTATATTTGTAGTCCACATATTTGTAAAAGGACTATCCATAACACATGGACCAGAAGATGATAGACTTACTGCTATTGGCTCCGCGGTACTATCTATCCATACTGTTAAAATATCTTCAAGATCTGATCCAAGTAAATAACACTGCAATTTATAAATCTAACTTAAGACACCTATTTGAATTGATTATATGTCAGAAAAATATGTCTATGTGCATAAAAGAAAAATTTATAATTTTACCGCCGGTATAGAAGTTAAGAAAGTTGTTTCACTTCCAGAAGAAGTACGAGCTATTGCTTTTAATCTATACTTTCCATCGTTCTTAGCTAGATCTTTTAATTGATTAATTTGTGCTTGTAAAAGTCCATTTTGTCCAACAACTGAAGCTCCACTACGTACACTAGTAATCGTTACATTTCCCCTTTCTACAAAATTCGGTCCTGGTTCATCATTGAGCGCATGCCATAATCTCAACTGAAGCCAACCATCAATATCAAGTTCGATCTACAATTTAAATGATTATTATTTCATTACAATAATAATAATGTTGTTGATGTTTTTATGAATTTGACGAAACATAATAGACTACACTAACCCCATATGTAAATGATGATATTCCTAAGAACAGACTAAAGATAACACATGACAGATACATGTCGTTGACTTATTTATCGATTTACTAGTTTAAAATTAAAAAATAAAAATCATGAAAATGATAAAACAATCACAGAATCAAAAATACATAAATTTCATTGTATATCAAGAGTTTCTGCTTTATAGAAATTTATCTATGTAACTATATTAGGGATATTATAATAAAATTGTTAAATGCTAGTCAGGCTGACCAACCTTGAAACTTGATTCATAGAAGCAAAAAATCAAGCAACACCACTATTCAGTACTTATAATACGCAATTACGTATACTATTTTCATAAGATCATGTTACTATTACTAATACTATTTAATAATTAAGCAAGATCCAATTACTTCGAAAAACATTAAGGCTCTTCATTAACTTTTATTCGAAGCGTGTGCGACTTCAGCGACAGGTATGGACAAAATATGAAATACGAATATAAGCGGGGAACGCTGTCCCTACCATGCGTCTATCGTATCGATGTATGAGCTTGTGTTGATTATTCTCCTTTAACTATTCGTGCATAACTATTCGTTTCGTGTGGATTAGAGTAAGTAGTTTAATAGACTGTGAGTTCACACTTTTCAATCTCTCATATGGTATATCTCTCTTTGATGGTGCGTCTTGTAGTGATAGGAGTATAAATAAAAAAAAAAAAAAAAAAAAAAAGACTAACTCGTTAATCGTTCGAGTTAACAAAAAGCGCATTTTAAATAAGGACATATTAAACAAGGACAATTATCCGGAGATGAAAATTTTTTATTAAAATTATTTTAAGTTTCTCGCGCGTAACGATCTTTATGACATACGAATTTTCTTATTTTTTTCCATAGAATTATCTGTTCAAAGAGCGAATTTATCGTATATTCTCCGTGCGAATATCGTGAAACGTATTTCTTTGCATTTGGAATGCAACTCGGAAAATTTGAGCATCAGTTATTTACGTACACAAATAAGCAGGTAATCGCTACTTCACGGAACAAACATATCCCCCATTTGAGCGTGATTGGAGATCGTCAGTAGCGGAGCTTCTCTTCAAACTTCTTCCCTTTGGCCGCATATTTTCAGGGGCGCTACTATACGGAACTTTTTTCTTTCTTTTTTATTTTTTTTTTTTTTTTTTTTTTTTGCTTTTTTTTCAAAAAATGTTTCGGCAAACAATGAATCTCAGCGTAATTCTTTATCGATTTTAACGATCAAGATGTCATTTTAAAGACAAAGATTTAAGCGAGGACATGACCTTTTCGAATTTTTGTAAAAGCTTTGTTTTTATGTGTAAACTATTTTCGAAAAGAGATCATTTTTCCGAGACTTCGTCTTTAAAATGAGATCTTGTTTTTCAATGTCGCTCAAGAATTATTCTTGAGTTCTTGTCTGCCGTTGGGATAGATCATTATAAAACCAAGGACGATGAACAGTCTTACCGTAGAATAAAGAATCTTTTCAAAGGACTTTCTTGAGTTTCATCACTTGCGATACGCGATCTGAATGGTATTAGGATTAAAAACGAGTTAATAAACTACCGAGTTCTTTTTTTTTTTTTTTTTTTTTTTTTTTTCATGAATTTTGATCCATCCGAAAAGATTATAAGACTTTACGAACCATTATTTCTATAAAGGTTATAATTATAAGAATATATTAGATTTACGATTAGTTGTAAATCTAAGATGTGACAACAGCGCAAATCTGCTTTCTCTTTTACAAAATGGTCGCCGGTTCTCTTCCCGAATGCTCAGATCCGCCACGTGGACGAAGAAGGAAGGAGGTCTTACTACTTTGAAAATTTCAGAAGAGATTCTCAATTAAGTTACAATATTGGTAAAAACGAAAATTTTTTTTAATCTATTAATCGATAAAATTTAATAAATGATTAAGACAAATTAATAATATCAAAAAATATATTTTAATATTCGTATAACCTTAAACCCGTTACACATTTGGTCATAACTTTTCAAATATTATAATAAGAGTTTTATTTCTCTATTCGTATTACACAACATACGTACTAAGGAAAACTTTTAAAAATCGTAAATAAATTATTTTTCTATTGAGTATATTTTCATTTTTAATATTGAAACGAAAAAAAAAAGTTTCCTTTAATAATTCCAATATTGATTTCATATGAAATTTATCTTATCTTTTTATGTAGATATTTTAAGCTACTTCAAAAGCTAAAAAATGGGTAAAGAAAAAGTGCATATTAACATTGTCGTCATCGGACACGTAGATTCTGGGAAATCGACTACCACTGGACATTTGATTTATAAATGCGGTGGTATCGATAAGCGTACCATTGAAAAGTTCGAGAAGGAAGCCCAAGAAGTAAGTTCTGTGTATTAACTATCATGTTTTTCATGTTTTACCTAAATTATGTCATAAGTTAAACGATAAAATTTCGGATCGTAAAATTACGAAGCCAGTGATGATAATTCATATTTGTCCGAGCAATTAAAGTTTTCTTATTTTTGCATAATGTTGTGAAATTTTATATAACATTAGGAATGACTCTATTATTCTTTTAATCGAACATATTTTATATATCAATTGTGTTTTTGGAAATTATAGATGGGTAAGGGTTCCTTCAAATATGCATGGGTTTTGGATAAACTGAAAGCAGAACGTGAACGTGGTATTACTATCGACATTGCTCTTTGGAAATTCGAAACCTCCAAATATTATGTCACAATCATAGATGCACCTGGACACAGAGATTTCATAAAAAACATGATTACTGGTACTTCCCAAGCGGATTGTGCCGTATTGATTGTTGCTGCTGGTACCGGAGAATTTGAAGCTGGTATTTCAAAGAATGGACAAACTCGTGAACACGCATTACTGGCTTTTACGCTTGGTGTAAAACAACTCATTGTTGGTGTCAATAAAATGGACTCAACCGAGCCTGCATACTCTGAGACTCGTTTTGAAGAAATAAAGAAAGAAGTATCATCCTATATAAAGAAAATTGGTTATAATCCAGCTGCTGTTGCATTTGTACCAATTTCTGGTTGGCACGGGGATAACATGTTGGAGGCATCGAGCAAAATGCCTTGGTTCAAGGGATGGCAAATTGAGCGTAAGGAAGGTAAAGCGGAAGGGAAATGTCTTATCGAAGCTCTCGATGCTATTCTTCCACCTTCCAGACCAACCGACAAACCACTCCGCCTCCCACTTCAAGTAATTATTTATTTAATAAATCTATCTCTTAAAAAATCTCCCCCTTAATGGTTTTTGCTACATGATATCATTTTTACAGGATGTTTATAAGATTGGTGGTATCGGAACTGTACCTGTTGGTCGGGTTGAAACTGGTGTATTGAAGCCAGGTATGGTCGTTACGTTTGCTCCTGCTGGTCTGACCACTGAAGTAAAATCGGTGGAAATGCATCACGAGGCATTACTAGAGGCTGTACCTGGTGATAATGTCGGTTTCAATGTGAAGAACGTTTCTGTCAAAGAACTGCGTCGTGGATTTGTTGCTGGCGACTCTAAGAGCAATCCGCCTAAAGGAGCTGCAGACTTTACTGCCCAGGTAAAATAAACTTATTTGTTTATAGCTTTCCAAGAAATAATGAAGTTGAATTTATTTTAATAAAAAAAATACGTAATATAGGTCATTGTACTAAATCATCCGGGGCAAATCAGCAATGGTTATACACCGGTATTGGATTGTCATACTGCTCATATTGCCTGCAAATTTGCCGAAATTAAGGAGAAGTGCGACCGCCGTACTGGCAAGACTACCGAGGAGAATCCAAAATCAATCAAATCAGGAGATGCAGCTATTGTTACTCTTGTACCAAGCAAGCCGATGTGCGTCGAATCTTTCCAAGAATTTCCGCCATTGGGACGTTTCGCTGTCCGTGACATGCGTCAGACGGTAGCAGTCGGTGTAATCAAGGCTGTTACTTTTAAGGATGCAAGCGGTGGAAAAGTCACCAAGGCTGCCGAAAAAGCTCAGAAAAAGAAATAACTATTTTCCGTATATGTTTATCGCCGGATTAACCGGTTTATTACAGCTGAAATAGTTAGCGTTCTTTCTTCATATCTTTCATATAAGCTGGCATTTATATTAATGTTTTTATCGTTATCGTTTCTGTTTTTTAAAATCTCTTTTATAAATTTATATTCAACGAAAAGGAAAAAAATTGACTTTTATTATTTTAGACATGATAACTGCGTATTTATCCAAGCTTTTCAACGTACGTCGATCTTATTAAGATTATTATTTCGTAACTTGTTTCATCGTAAAGAATTCCGCAGGGGAGGCAACGAATCGACGATGACCGACCCCTTGTCGATGATGGCAAGAACAACGCTATTACATGAAATATATGAAGCAAGAGTAAAAGCTACTGAATAACATCTATATTATTTCATAACTCAACACGAATGAAATAATAATTTAAACTCGGCTTAATTATATTTTTTTAATTATTATACGGAAAGAATAAATTCTCCATCTGCGATATTTATCCTTCTATCAGATAAATCCCTTCCATCACACAAATAGTTTTATTTTAACATTATGATTTGTAAAAGCGACCTTACTATTAGGTAGGTCAGTTCGATATCTTTGCATGCTATGAATTTGGATAGATGGCGATAGCGTTGATAACTGAAACGAATTATGAATTATTCGATCCACCGGCAGCAGGAAGCAGCACTTTCGAAAATTATGGCCGCGCTTGTAACCGGTGTTTCCACTTTTCTTAATATATTTTCACAAAGTTCAAGATCATTAGGGCGTGATGTGAGTACGATTAAAATCCTTAAAATTCTTCGTGCGTGTGTATATATTTATATATACACACGCACGAAGAAAGTTTCAGTGATATTTTTTACTATTAAATGATTATGTACGAAATAACTTAACCTTTTACAAATCCATGCTTAAATAACACGTTAAAAATGTAATAATAATAAATGCATATTTTTTCTTTTGCTTATGTGAACTATAATATTATTGTAGTTTCAACAAATACGCAATTATGTTGGCTGCAGAATGAGACGCGATGCTAAGCGTAGAAAATTGGCTGGAGAATATGCAGAAGAAAGATTGAGATTGGTTGCAATGAAGCGAAATGACATTTTACCTATTGAAATTAGAGTAACTAAATCTCTTTTAGAGATTATTCATACGCCTTTTTTTATTTCACAATATATCTTTCTTAATGTTTATTTTAGGATCTCGTTGAGAAAGAAATACAAGAAAGAATTCCTAGACAGACTGCTTTAAGAGAATTGTCTTTTCGGTGTGTACTAACTTCGCGACCTAGAGGAATCGTATACAGATGGAGATTATCAAGGATAATGTTCCGTGACTTAGCAGATTATAATAAATTAGCTGGTATACAACGAGCCATGTGGTAGAACACGAAAATGATAAGTTCATTGATAAAGAACAAATTTGATCTTTATTTCTTCTCTCGTGTATGGTTCATGTTATATATGTCTAGTTTAAATTGTAAGAAGTGAAAAATACAAAAAAAAAAAAAAAAAAAAAAAGATCTTAAAATTCGTTTTATTTCGCTTATTCTCATCTTAGAATTTTAAAATGATGAAATCGTTCGTTCAACAACATATTACTGAACTATAATAACTTCGTTGGCCATTGTCTTCAAGTACCGATAGATAGCGCGCAAATTTAACCAATAGAATCAGCTGTTCTTCCAACGATCTCCATGGTCGCCTCTATTTACAGTTAAATAGCGGGAGAGTGCCGCATCGTCGTTGTATATTTTTCAGTCTATAATTAATACCGTACGTATTTTTAATTATATAAGATTTAATTTTTAATCGTAAATAAAATTAATATAATTATCAAATTATCAGTCGTAAATAAGTTTTCATAAATATTTTTTTACAATGTAGAAAATATGAAAATTTATTTTGTATTTATTTGCAGTTTTAAACAAAACCAAAAACTGGTGTGTAATACATAATGAATGACTCATTTTTAGAAGATTTAGATTTATTGCCAAATGAGAAAAGAAGTTTTGTAGAAAATCAAGTAGATCGACATGTAACGATTAGACACACAACCTCTTCGCCCTTACAACGTTTGTCGGAACAAGATGATTTTGAAAAACTCGTACAACAACAACAAAAAACTGAAAGTGCCTCGACCAAGGTATCAAAATTGCCACAGATCAGAGAATCTAATAAAAAGGAGTCGCCTATAAAGGATGTAAAAGGTTTAACCGAACATGATACCAGAAAGCAGATGGTAAAAGCAAAATCCTCCGAGAGAAAGGACAAAGGTGCTGAAAATAAATTAAAGTCAATGGAAAATAAAGTTAAATCGGACTTTAGAGATAAGGATAATAAACAAGAGGCAAAGGTTAAATTATCAGAAAGTAAAATTATAATTAAAGATCATAATCGTCGATCTGGTAGTTATAAGGATAATACCCGTTCCTTGGACAGTTCCAGTAAAGAGAACAGTCGTCCGGCAGATTCTTCGAAAGGAAGCACTCCTCACATTGATATGACGAAGGAAAGGGGAGGGCGTGTGATTGAAGGTTCTATAAAGAAGTCTGAAACAAAAGAATATGATCCAGTTGCATTACTTAATGCAATTAAAGATCTCATAAGCACATATACCAAACAAGAAAGCACAAAATTGTTAAAAGCTATGCAAGAGTTTCACATCAATTCACAAAAAACTTTTATTAAGAGTACATTGTTACAAACCGATGAAATAATCAAAGAAATACATCCTACCAGGGATTCAATTCGTATGAGAGCATTAATAGAAGAAAATGAAAGATTACAAGAGGATTTAATTATTTTACAAAAACGATATAGCGATTTACAAAGGAAATTAGACGAGTTAGAATCTCTTAAAGAGGAAAACACAACATTGAAATTGAAATGTAAAGAATTATCTATGCACCAACAATGAATATTAAAACAGACTTTAAGACTTTAGACGTAACATACTTCAAAAGTAATGACATTTAACATTAATATAACGTGTCATAACTACTCTATAGTTTGCCAATGAATTATTAACAAATCTCTGCCAAATGGTGATATCATTCTAAACTTCCTATTGTTAATTTAATTGTTAAAATTTTTAAGTAGGAATATATATATATATTAAAAGTTCCCCATAATAAATGTAATAAACTGTGCCTGCTTGTAGGATATTCGCTCAATTGTTAATCGTACGTACAAGTATGTTATAACAAAAATAATTTATTTTTATATCATTCCATTACTACTTATAATGTAATCCATTGTTAGCGGTCACATTTGCGCATTGTTATTCCGCTAAATGCATATATATATATAAGCAGTATATCATTAAATCGGTATATCGTGTATAATGTTCATTCGCGTGATCAGACCGATGATAATGCATTAAAAATACGTTTAATACATTCTGCATAAATATTTATTAATTACAATGTGTATGCAATCATTTAATAAAGAATTTTATTCTTATTAGATTGTTATATTTTAATACTTATAAAATGCTTTCAAGCATATATCTTTTATATACATAGTTTTATATTATTAACTAGAAAGTATTAAGCATAATGAAGATTATAAAATTATTTATGAAAATGTATACTTAAATGCATAACTCATGATAGAATTCATATTAAAAATTCAACATGTCTTTTAATGAATGATATATTCATTAACAAATAATTGATAGAATTTGTTGATCCATTTGTACAATTATGAAGAGAAATTCTTTGTGAATTTGTATAGGCCATCTCTGAAGCAACCAACAAACATTCCCAGTACTTGATTCGTGTGTCATTTCTTGTTTCTTTTCTTTTTTCTTTTTCATTTTTAAACATATTCATTATACGTCTTATTTTTTTCCGCTTTCGCACGATCTTATAAATAAAGCGTATATATTTCACATTTCGTATATAATTTCAATCTAAAAGCATTCGTCGTTTTTATTAAAAACTTGCATACCAAAGGCTTTACATTTTTTCATTTATAAGCCACTTATAAATTGCATTATTATTAGAAGCATGCCTCTGCAGTTTTAGATAAATGAAGAGTATTCCCGTTTTTAACATTTCCTTAATAATAAGAAATAAATCTTTTTTGATATACAACTTTTTTTTACTTCACCTACTCTCGAAGTTGACTTTCCGTTTCGGTCATCAGAATTGATTCTTATTGTATAAAATGAACACACTATATATAGTACACATCATTCTTACGTCATCAGATGGTCACCGTCATTATTAATAATTTAATCACGATGAGGTCTTTCACGCGATTCTCTTCCTTCTGCTTCATTGCCATCGTCTTCTTCATCTTGATCCTCATTGTCAGTGCGTTCTCCTTCTTCCGGTGGTCTCGTCCACCTGTATAAAGAATTAGATTATAGAAGATAAAAGATTGTTTAGTGATATCATTGGATTATAATACGTAAACGCGCACACAGTTAAATTAAAAAAAGTATAATAATAAATATTAACCTGATAAGGGTTTCTGGAGATCTATATAAGAATATGAGTTTTGCAAACAAATCTTCTTCCAAGCACAGGTCACCGCTTTCGCGTACTAAATAAATATCTAAACATAATCGAAGAATTCTGTCGACGTACGGTAGATCGTCGAACATTATCTTTGGCGCCATATCGCTTACCACCTTACGCATCATTTGGCTTATCACGATTACAGCAGTAGTATACAAACCCAAAATTCTAGTCGAAAATAAATAAAAAAGCTTACAGGATTATGCGACGATAGTATAAGTTTAGTGGATTTTTTGTCTCCTATAATATTGCCTTACCCAAACCCACTGATAAAGCTCAATTCTTCTGGAAATACTTTATCGTTGAAAAGGAACATCGTAATATATTTGCAATCATTCAATGGTATCTTTTGTAATAAATCTAAATAAAAACGATCATCGCAAACTTCTTGTACGTTCCACCATTGCTGATTTGCACAACATTGCCGGTCAATGGATAATTGAAGGCTAATATTTCTATATAGATATTTGTCAGTGGGCGTATCATCGTCCTCTTCATTTAACGCTGGAATTGATTTCTTCATTTTTATTCTGTTTTAAATTATTTTTTTTTTCTTTTTATTATAATAAATACGGCATCTAGATATTATATGCTTACATTGTGAGCTCGATAATTTCATTAATTGTGAAACAACTTCGGCGGATCTACTGGTAACTTTGAGGAATTTTGGAAATGAATATGGTACGTTTATCGTAGCATTAGACGGACTTAATCCGTTTATAGATAACATGTCTACTAATGTCTTCCTCGTAGGATTAAATTCTCCATTTATAACTGCTGGTAATATCACGTCATGACGACTCGTTGTTTTACCAGACGAATCTTTCACATCCGTTTTTCTAGAAACCGTCCATTCAATGTGAACAACAACGTCTGCCGAAGATTTCAATTCTTCAATTAATCTGTAATAAAAAATGTCCTAATATAATAATTTATAAATAAGAGAAATCGCTGGAAATTGCTCATGGATTAGGTTGATTACAATTAGAAAATGTAATAAAAAAAAAATTAGAAATTAACAAGCCAAATCGACGAAGTAAACCTTAGTTTGTCAGGCGGTGAAATATCCCATAATTTTCTGGAGAAACCACTAAGTTTAATAACCGCCACATCTGTATTAATATAATTTTCTAAGAAGGTAATCGCTGCTTTATCCTGAGTATACAAGTCCGTAAAATTTTTATATTCCTCTTCTTTGTATCTCATGATCGAACTGGTCTGAGCAGACATCGAATAAATCGGTTCGTACGGTCCTATCGCTAACTTCATCGACACCTCATAAGGCAAATTCGAAACGCCAACTGTTCCGCCAAGTGCGAACAATAACAGAGGGAACCATATAAGACCAATTATGACACAGAGTGCACCTCCGCCAGCGAGATACTTGCTCATTTGGGTCTTTTTTTCTCCTCGTGGTTGTGGAAAATCTGTTTCCATTCCGCGCATGCACTGTAATTCGATGCAAAGCATTTTATAAATGAATATATCATCTTCGATCAATGATACTTTTATTTGGAACATACTTTAATTTGATAAATACTGGCAAAGATATCTTCCATTTTAAACCAATCCATTATTGTCATAGAAGTATCGGTCCAAATCCAATCCATGACAGCTCGCAATTCAAACAGGAATGGAACTAACATGAATCTGCGCGAAAGTAATAAGATTTCATTCGATCACTTTGTAAGATGGAAATTTAAAAAATATATAAAACACATATCCACCCTTTAAATAAGACGTAATTTACTATGCTATATTTCTTGCATAAGAAATTGCCAAGTATGCGGGTTGGATATCCTTGGCGCAATTGGTATGCTGCGAGCAACAGATAGAAACATTTCATCATATACCAGATCTGTGGTGGTAATTTGTAATTAAATTGTCTGTAATATTAAAAAGATATGATATATATATATATATATACATATACATATATATGATATATATTGAAAACATTTAGAATAAATTATACAACATATATCATTAATAAATGTATCACCTTTCTGTAACGCTCGGCAATATGAAGAACATCCACATGTGAACTCCAAATATCAGGCAATATTGAAAGATCAACTTTCCGACAATGGATTTTCTCAAGAACAAAGCTCTATCGATAACTATCAAAGCAAATTGAAGTAATAACATTAGTAAGAAAGGCATGGGCACTCGGTTTTCTTGCAAATAAGCCGTCACTCCACCATCGCCCTGTTGTGTCTGCAGAGAAAAAATTGATATTAATGGCGAGATTATGAAATGATAGAAAAAGAATCGTATCGCTTACACCAAAGGCAGAAAATCCAAAAATCAGCAGAAGAAAATTAAAGAAATCGCAAAGAAACATGTATGCATAGACATTTGTCTTCTCTTTACCGACGGGACTAAGAATTTTAGTAAAGAATTCTTTCATAGGTTCTAGATATTTGTCAAATCTGAAATAATTTCGATGATACAGTTTAAATCGTTCAGATCATTTCTTTCTATCTCTGATTTTTTTGAAGTAAACTTACGTCATATTCATGGTTGTCGAGATGTTTTCACTGTGAGGATGTATCTCTTCACCTTGAATAGCTACAAGCTTCTCATTTTCATTTACCGTTACTGCGTTATTTTGCGAATTCGTTTTCTCCTTAATATTTAAAATCTTACCCTTTGGTGTTTTAATATTGGCGTGTGATCTATATAACAGAAAAAATCATCAATGTGACGAAAAAGAGAGAGAGAGAGAGAGAGAGAGAGAGAGAATCTTGCCTATCGTAAATAAAACTATTATTAACGAACATACTCTGCAGTTTCTTGCTGCCAAGAATTCGTCGTCGATTCTTCCGTTTGGCCATCACCAGAAGGAGGATTAGGAGGTTTTGACTGAACCACTGTCAAATTAGAAGGGATAATTTTCCTTGGCCTCGTCGACGGTGTGGTCCATTGTCCCAATGATTTGAGCATGAACCTACATTCGGATATTTACAATTTAAACGTTATCATTTCAAATTTATTCATTAAACAACAATGTCTCTTATGTTTTATATACTTTATGGAATAGAGAGTACCTATGGAAGAAAACCATAAGCAGTAATAACAAATCCCATAACGCATAATTTTGTTGTTGTTCAACGCCAATGATTCTTGGCGCGAAAAGCGGATCATTAGATGTTGCCTTTCGACTCCAAGGAATGAGTTCCAATTGGAAAATACATTTTATAATGACGATTGCCTGCGGGCATATACATATAGCGTTTATTAAATAAATTCTTAATATACGCATATAACATCGTTTTTCAGATTTGACGCTTTGTACAAATTCTTACCTCCGTATAAGCGATTAAAGTCACCCAAAAGGTTTTCGAAGGTCGCGGTATCGTGAGAGAACCCCAACAAAATACCATCAGAGGTAATGGCGTGGAGATAACGGAGGCATTTTTAATTTGATGAAGAAATACCATAAAATAACACAGGAGGCTCGAATGTGCCAGAATTCCAAACCATATCGATGCTGCCAATTGAATTATCGGTGGTTGATCAACTTCGGACAACTCTGCAACTTCCTCTTCGACTTGGCTTTGCGATATTTGCGAGAAAATCATGCTGCGTGCAGAAAGTATTTGGATCATCTTTTAGTTAGACATTATTTTTTATATGAATTTGCAGAAAGCAATTGTATGTTTTTTTGCTAATCATGAATTTCTGCAAATCATCAACATTAGAAAAAAAGCACATTTAAAGCTTAACTCGGGAACAATGTAAACGTACCTGTAAAATAGAACTAATTATAAATTTCATAAATTCGAATCTTTGAAAATGCACGTGCTAAATAAAAATAAAACGAACGAAATTTCCTCTTTATACCATAATTCTTTGATTCTTCAAGCAGGGATATCAACGAAAACATGAAATTGTATCTAAAATATATGCCTATATACGACGTAGACGATAATTGTGATCAATGCTAAATGTAATAAATGCGTGCAAAGGTGTATCGAGTTATCGCTACTATGCAAATAATCCATTCAATTAAAATATACAACGCAACCTCGATACCTAGAGGAGGACTTGTCCAATCCTCGCTCCAAACTTGGCGCCAGGATTCGTATATGAGGTACCGTCAGCGTGCTTTCCTTCCTAGCAGAAATAACACCGCTCTTTCTACGTTTATTTTAGATCACATTGTCGAATACACAGTTAATGCAATATTTCTCGACAAGAATATGATAGGACGATATGTTAGGGGTGTTACAAGATAGGATAGAATGGAATGTAAGGATTAAACTTACGGTGGAAGGTTCTGTTTGGATACGTCATTTTGCGTTTTGCAATTTTGAAAGTACTGAAAGTAATATCCTGTTATAGTCGAAAGATACATCATGAGTAACGTGACTTTTTGTTCCTCATATTTCTTGCATTTCTAGTTAAGCTTGGACAAAATAATAAATTTAACTATATTCATTATATTGATTTTAAAGTAACACCCTAGACAGGATCGAAGGATAAGATATTAAGGGAGATTCTATTTATTGCATTTCTATGGAATTTTTGTTAAGATATCAAAGCATTACCTCTCGATTTGCAATTGTTGCTGACTAGGACCTTCACCGGGATTAGCAGCTCCTTCTGTATCTTCATTAGTTGTCGATCTGTCAGAGCGAGCACATTTACTACTATCCTATACATATATAAACTACCGTATACATATATAAACATATGTTTAAGAGCAAAGAAGAAAAGAACAAAAAGGAGCTATAACTATTCGTACAGATACAAATATTGTGTGTTACTACTCTTTAAAACTATTTAGCGATCTTTTAAGCTATATTAACTTTGAGTGATCATCATTTCATTTATAAAAATGATCGTCATATAGTCGAACTACGTCGCTGAATCTACGAACATACTTGTTAAGAAGACAACTAGAAGATGGGGATATTTCTTAAGGATATTAAAATTAAATCACATTTCAAGTACATACAGTAGCGTGAGATAGCACAATATTTCTGACGTATACATTGGAAATAATTATATATACCTACACGATTTACGTTTAAGTAGCAAAAAATGTAACGATAGAAAAGTTTCCTTACCTTTCTTGTACCAGTGGTATCGGTTGCCACATTTGATTAATCCCTAATCTGAAACCTGTTCTGAAATCCGATTTTTCCTGTAAAAATAAACGAAGAAAAAAAATTTTTATTTCATTTAAAACAAACGAAAATGTACACTCTCAAAAGGAAATAATATATTAGGATATATACATAATGTGCCATACCTTCAATAGTTTCTTCTCCAACGCTAAAATCTTGCGAATATATCTATAATCTCGTGAAAATTGATTGAGGTATTTAATCATCGAGATCAAAGTACTATTGACCATTACCAAAAAGAATTGAAAATACGTAGAAATGGAAACTTTTTTTTCTTTTCCGTCATCCTCTTCGATACTTCTTTCCACCGTTTTATCTCCTTGCTCTCTTTCATCCTCGTCGAAAGGTTGCGGTTTCGTCAAGTCCACCGTTCTTAATTCTTTTTCTTCCGATTCAATCTCGTTCGATGTAATGCTCGTTCGATCGGCGGCCTAATATTTCCAAAATATATAAAAAAAATATCAATTTCGTAAGTATATGTATCGTCCACGTATATTTTGATATTGAAAACGATCATACGATCAATTTTTAGGATTTAACATATATATATATATATATATATATATATATATATATATATATATACATATATATATATCACCGTTCACGGTAAATAAATAAATTAAACGTCTCTCTTATCAAATCCTCAAATTGATAGAGCCGATCGTTTACAAGTCTAGCAAAAATACAATCGCTGATTATTCATTATTAACGATTATTGTTAAATAACAAGAAGCTTGTGATTGCAGGCCCTAGACTGTAAAAAACAATAAATAAAGATAGTAAGCGCAATATATCGAGCGATTTACATGTAACGTGTGTATGTATATATATACACATATACATATATATATATATACACACATATATATACACATATACACACACACATATATATATATATATTAGCGACGAAGTCTCGCTGTCAACTGCATCTACGAACATTGAGAATAAATACGCAATAAGAGATTGTCGATGTCATAAAGAGAAGAGCACACGTAGATATACCTTCGCCATCATTTTGAAGAAGCTGAGAAAGCGCGTGAGAAGAATATATGTTCCTGGTGGAAAGAAAGCGATCGGATTTACAAAGTATTATTACATCTACTGTTAAAACTCACGAAAGTTTTTCAATTATGTTAAATTTCCTCTATTGCAATTACATAATCTAACATATATTTAGCTAGCTGAAATATGTCAAATTACGATTCAATATTGACTATATTAGATATGGAAGATTAAGTACATAGATTACTGAAAGAAGAGGTATGTGTATAAAAAGATAAATAGAGCATTGCAGACTGAAGCATATAGATGTTACAAGCTAACTCGAGTTTCGTGCTATCGCAACTTTAAAAAGATTGTCTGTGTTTGCTCAAATCTTTCAATGCGATCGCGAAATCAAAAGATAAGAAATTTACAAAGAAAGCTATAGCGTTTTTATTTCACGATCGAAGTATTATAAGGTAATAATTAGTTTTGTTAAGGCAGAATAAGAGAAAAGGCCGCGTCTTCGTGACGAGATTCGCCCAGCGTACACGAAAGAAAAAAAAAAGAAAACAATGAGATAAAAAATGAGACGAAAAAAAATATAAAATATAATCAGCGGTGGTGGCAACAATAATGGCAAGAGCAATTGCAGCGGCGGTGGCGGCGGCTCAGGATGGAAGGAAGAAGAATTAGCAGAATCATGCAGCCTTTCTTTTTCTTTTTTTTGATCGTTTTCTTTTCTTTTCTTTTCTTTAGTTTTTTTTTTTTTTTTTTTTTTTTTTTTTTTTGTAAAGGGGATCTCACGTCGGTCGGCACGGCAGTCTCGGTCTCAGATCGCGCGCTCAGATAGGACATGGACGATTTCTTCCGCGTCAGCGGTACGCTCCGACGGCGAAGTCTCAACGCATCCTTTTTCGTTCCTCCATACATGGCAACGTGGGTCGCTATCGCAATGTCTGTCTTAATCAGCGTATCCATCAGCTGCAAGGACCACACTTACGCTTCATTTTCTTTCCCTTTTTCATCATATTTTCTTTTCCTTTCTCTCTCTTTCTCTCCTCGAGAATAGGCACAAAGTGAAAAAAATAAGAGCATACTTTTACTATATTCGGGACATTTTAAATATCAGGCGTGCGTGAAATGAGATCAAATCGAGAAAACATGAAACGTATGTGTACGCGCAAGTATGTTGATAGGTAGGTAATAACGCAAATCAAGCTTAGCCAAAGGTTCCTTGATATCGTGAAACTTGAATATCAAGAGGGGTTCATTTTTATATTGTCTCAAGTCCAACAACGATAATCGTTTCGTTTCTATGAGCGTTTCATCAGATTATAGTCTTTGGGTGGGTAAACGAAGTGGGAAGAGTTAGTAAAATCTTTTTTTCAATACAAACGAATTTCATCCAATTCAAAGGACATACCTCCGTTATGGTCATTCTTCTGTCGTGTGTATCTTCGGGGATTTGTTCGTCTTCCTTTCGTTCTATCTCGGTATCAGCCACAATATCGGTTATATCGTCGTCATCCAAATCGTCGAACATGTAGTAATCGCCTGACCTGATGGCTGATGAGAAAAAGTCGTTATTATTATTATTATACTATTACCTGATAGTGATTTAAAAGAAATTAAAGCCATGCACCGAATACAAGAATCTCTTAAATTTATAGATAAAGCAAAGAATACCCGAAGCTATTCATAGTTGAAGCCAAATCAGATTAATTTTGTAGAAATTATTTATTTATTGCTCGAATAAATAATTTTTCGTAACAATTATCTAAGAGATATCAGTTCCGTTATTTAGATAATATTTCAAAATTTTATCTGATTCGCTTCTCTGACACATATCATTGATAAAATTAATTTTAGTAATTTATGTCTCTTCGTTAGTATTCCTACATAGACGATAACATACATAATGTACAGAATTAATCGTAAGATTAATTATTAGGGTAATCACAGTCATTAGCGACATCAGTTAGACAAGCTGTTATATGTACAATAATTAATACAAATAATTAGTACTGCCTGTAATAATTTCATGTGGTTAAATTGGAGAGACACCGGTTAAGACGGGAATAAAGCTCAGAGTTAAGCCGCAAAAATTTATTAATTTACCCTCTCTGTTGGTCTTTGGCACGCGAACTTTGTACAACGGCCGAGTCCCTGGATAAAGAGTATCTAACAAAACATAACATGAGATAAATAAAATGTAGGATATAGAAAAAAATATATAAGTGGAAAAGGTGATGAAAAATACTTGACATAGGATCTGCCTTGTAATAATCTTAAATCTCGCCGGTTGAAATAACGGGGAACAAAATAATGATTTGAATTTATAACGATGAGAGGATAACAATGAATTAAAAGGAAAAGAAAAGAAAGGAAAAAGTAATAAATCAATAACCTGAATGACGCGACTATTAAAACTACGAAATCCTTACGAAAATGAGAAAAAGTTATACGCTATGAATCGTTCGGAAATCGCAATTCGTGGAGGAATTATTTTACAGGTAACAGCCAATGAGTTTCTACGTAAATCGAATATCTTCCGTTGGCTGAATGAAATATTGTAAAAGGAGAGTTTTATCTGAATTGCTGTTGCCGCATTCCTATAGTCGCTTTTTATACGGCGCAATGAAAGTAGAAAAGAAGGTAGAAAAATGGTCTGGGTTAGTGGTGATGGATAAGACGAACTAAGAAGTGCTAGAGCGTGGAAGCTTATGTACAGGACATCGTAGCAGACTGACGACGAGGACGTTGTTTCCTGGAGTGTCGTTACATGTGTGATGAGAGTGCGGGGAACGAGAGGCGGTTGAGACGATGGACTGCCTCTGCGTTTGCAGTCCGTTCATCCACGGTGGACCGATGAAACTGGATTGACGTCGATGTCTCGTCGAGGAGGTCAACGAGCGATCTTGAAGAGGCTGATCGTAGGGCGGAGGAGAGAAGACTGGGAAAGTTTCGTCGGGTGAGGGCCCACGTGGATTCAGCTCGCTACTCGGCGGAGAACCGAACGATATACGAGTGGGCTCGAGATAAGCCTCGAGGCTCACCGTCATGATGGCCGAATTCGGTGTTGGCGCTTGCAAGAGCGACGCCGTTCTTGGCGTTAACGGAGGTGGCTCGTCATTGTTCTCGTCGATCGGCGTCTGATAGCCCTGAGGTGGCGTGTGACCCGACGATACGCACGAACTCACGCTAGAAGACCTCGCCAAAGGTGCTTCCCCTTTTCGTTTGCATTAAATAAAGAGACTCCGAATTAAGGTGCGAATTAATGTGCGTTTCACATGCTCGGCTCACTAGAATAAACTTCGTCGGCTTCGATGATATAGGACAATAGGTTCGAGAGGGAACGAACTCTTCAAAAACGTTCGAAAGTGTTTACGGAGGGTCAATAAGGGATTTAAAATTAATATCATTTTTCTTGTCAAACTGCATTAGGACTGAATTACGGCCGAATTAAGAATTTGACTTTTGGCCTCTTCTTCTGAGACGTGTCATTTCCTCATTACAATTTATAATAATATCGTATCAACAAACTTTGTACCGTTCATCCAATATATTCGTCAAATAAACGAACTAATCCAATAAATCGATCGATTCTATTATTAGAACGCATTTGAACTTCGACAATTGCGATCAATAATAAAGAAACAATATCTTACCTATTTTGTGGGTTTCAGGTTCTCTATACGACGGTCCCTGAATTTTTCTTTGATTAGCTTTAATCTTGTCCATTTTGTATTTGAGTTTTTGTAGGATAGCTTTTTCCACATTATCTTGGATCTTTATGCGTTTCTGATGTAGCTCCTCAAGAAGTTCAGCACCTCGCGATGCTAATATACTCATTGCCTTTGTTTCGTCCACGATATGGAAGAAATAATAACTTTTAAAGAGGCGCATTTGCATCAAGAGAAAGCCAAAACATAATCCATCCCAAACCATGCCGATATCCTCTCGTGGTACTTGGCAAGTATCTCCTCCGATTTCTCCATCGTTCGTTGCACTGTGGAATTTTTTTAGACAGGCAATACCTAGTAATTGGACTAGCCAGTAGGCAGAATCTTGTAGCTAAACAATGGAATTATTGTTTTTTTGTTTTTTCGTCATTATTACTTGTTTCTTAAAAGCAAACTTTGTTGAAGTATAAGAATAAACGAAATAATAAACGAGATATTATTACCTCCTGCATCAGGATACAGCCGACACCTTGGAGTAAAGATTTTGAAAAGATGACAATGACGTTATAACCAATTAACATATTCCACCATTTGAGTATTGTCTTGACCGGTCTCAAATAGAAATCGCTACCTTGCCATAGTAATACGAAGGCACCTATAAGATATCCAAGGGAGAACAAATTTGTCCTTTTTGTTCCAGCCAAAAACATAATAGAAAGAGTGATCCACATTAGACTCATCATACTGCCACGTTTAAATACATCCAACCAGCAGTGTATATGAGAGACATAGTCTTTAACCGGATTTATAAAATTCGGATTGTCCATGTCTTGATAAACAGAAAAGTTATGGCCAGCGACGAATTCTCGAACGGACAGTATGTTATTTTGTTCAATACTAAATACAAGGCTCTGCCGACTGATCATCATTAGTAATAAAAAGTCGCCTAAAAGCCAAAGGTAATAGTTAAAGGTAATCGTAGCATTTCGCCATTGCAATAAGAACGAATACCTACAGATTAATTTCTTAGGATTTGGTGGATAATCTGGATCTGGAAAATACATCCATTCTTGCAGCTTTCGTAATGTCTCCGAATGACTCCAAGGATATTCTACATATTAAAGTTGGATGAAAATAATATATTATGTTACATCGATGAGCGGAATTACGTCACTTAGCAATTCTTATTAAAAGTGTATATATATATATATATATGTACATATATACCTATGCAAAACCATGTAGGTGGTGCTACCACCAAAGCATATTGTATAGGCAACGATATTATAGCGAACGTTTTAAAGAACGGCCATATCCTAGAAATGGTTTTCCTCTTCAATGAGAAGAACAATAGAAGCCAACAACCATAAAGAACGGAATAAAAGTCGAGTCTCATGCCAATAAGTGCCACAATTCCGATAAGGCACATCTCAAGGCCGAATTTATAAAATCCATAATTAAAGAGGAACTTCAAGCATTCCGGTATACCCTTATCTGCATCTACTCTGATAATATTTGGAAACATGACTTGAGGAGTGTCCAAAGACTCTCCCTTCGCATTTCGATAAAACCATTGTCGAATTCGAATGATTTTTCTTAAGGTCGTTACTGTGACGATACCAATGTATCCTTTCAACAATTCTGCGAGATGTCCAGGTTCACCCTTCTTTATACCAAACCATTCTACGATGTTGTATACGGTTTCATTGGTACCGTACTTTTCTGCACTATCGTTAACTGCTTTCTATAAGCGAATAATTCAATCGATTTGGCAATGTTACTGTGAAAATGAATACAACAAATAGTCATTTGTTGGTACTACACTGACTATTTACTCACCGTACAATTTACATTCCAATTATTATGATCGATATATTTTATCTGATACAACATCTTAATTACCATTAAGAGGGCAATGATCGCAGCTATAACGTTGATCGACATAATCTGTATGTTCCTATTGAAATTAATTATGATAACTATAGCAAGGACAAAGAGGAGGTTTATCGCGCATACCTAAAAATGAAAACGCTTACATATTATAGGCCCATTAATAAGAACATATACAACAACTCACATCATTGACACACAAAAGAATCAGAGAAATAAAGATAATTTTCTGCATGTGAATTTCCAGGAATAACCAGGTATAATTGTAAAAATTGTAGACATGATCCATTAATTTTCTTACAAATTCGATCCTTTCCAATCTTGACATATCTATAAAAATACATAATAATGTTTAAACACGTATTTTAAACGATCCGATACGATCTGATATTTGTTTACGTTTAGACGTAATAAATTAATATGCATTAACATACGCTTAAGTTGATTCAAAGTATACATATTGGATGTTTCTTCTTCTCCAAGAATAATTTGTGCAGGCGACGTTGTGGAATCATTCAAACTAGGAGTATGGCCGAGACTCGATCGTCTAAGAGCACTTTCTGGTCTAAGAAAGTGATCAATCGTTAAAATTATACTATAATAAAAGCCCAGTGCTTTTTCGATGAAAAGTTTTATTTATTGAATCGACATACCCGAGCTTATCGATAGTCGTTACTTTTAAGAAGTCATTATGAAAATAATGCATCTGAAGCACTGTGATAATAACGAAAAATGTTGGTATCAGCAGTCTTACAAAGAAATCTTTCGTTTCATATATTTCCAAGCCAATATCCATTTGTCTATGGAGAAAATAATGATTATAATAAAGGACAAGACAAATTGTGGAATAACGTTGTGTGCTAAATGCGAGTACTTGCAATTGTTCATTTATGCCCAAATAATTCCAATATTTCGGAAAATTTTGGAACTGATAGGTATATACTAGTATCAACATGATTACCGAATAGCCAATGACGGTTATCCAGAATGTATACATTACTTTTCTCCATACTAACCAGGACATCTGAAAGTTCTCCAATCGATTACTCACGATCTTACTTTAGCCGATATTTAATCGCGACTAGTCAATAATCAATATTTGTTTCACCTGAAATGTAATCACGAAGAAAAGGAACAACGACATGTAAACAATCCTAAAAACTGTCATTCGTTCACCGGTGATACCACAAATGAAGAGCATAATGGCCACAACGGCTATCCAGAATTTTGTCAAGAGTTGTTTCAAAATTATACCGACGTTTTTCATAAATTTGCTTTTCACTTCTTGTACTTCTTGATTCATGGCTGTGGTGGCTGTGGAAACTGAAACGTGCAAAGGCGCAACCATGTCTCTCAAAGTAGACAGTCGTCTTTGTTGTTTCCACTCTGCTGTATACTGTCTCATCGTGATCCAAAATATCAACATGAATGAACACTAAAAGTGGAACGGATCTATCATTGCTTTTTTGTTTTTCCTTTTCTTTTTTTCATTTTTTCTTTTTTTTTTTCTTTTTTTCTTTTCCTATCGGAAAAAGAAAGATATTTGATTTTTATTTTATTTCGAATATACCTTAACAATCAGATGCCAACGACTGAGCTCTTGAGCTTTGCTGAATCCTATCTCGGATATTTTTATACCGTTAATCGTCGTTGGTAGTTCTTCCTCGGTCAAATCCATACTGTAAACGTATTGCCCGAGTAACAAAAGAGTCGAATAAAAGACGATAAAAGGTGAACATTTCATCATTGAAGCACGTTTATTGGACATCATCCATAGGATTAAAGCCCAAAGTAAAAGAGCAAAGGTCATCCAACTGTGATACATTATACTCCACGTCTAAATAGGTAATAAAAAAACGAATTAACGAATTCGAAATAATCAAAATCGAAATAATCGAGATCTATTTCCTTACCATCATGATAATATTCATAGCGAGATAAGAGGAATTAATTAATAACTGGAATATCGAGTAAACTGCCATAATGATATGTTCCAAAATTCCAGGATTATCTCCAGGGGCGCCTGAAAAATTCATTGTTAACGTCGGTAACGTTAGATAGTAACGTGAAAGTAAATTTCAATGAGAAATTACGAACCCTCATCGAGACTTTGCAATTGAATACCGTCATCTTGATGACCATCCTGTATGATAACGCTGCCGGTGGAGTCTTGCAAAAGTCCCGTTCTTCCAGATCCAAAACGCATCAACTAAGAAACGAAACGTTCGACATATCATATATTTACGAGGTTAAATTAACGATGCTCAGAAAATATAAATCAATCTACTAATAAAAGTTATCTTTAGACATTTTTGTAATTACATTGAATTAATGTCAAGAAGCAAAATTATTATATCGTTAAGCATTTGCGTGCAGGAATTAAATTGTGAAGGAAAAAATTAAATTGTGAAATGAAGTGCTTTCACCAAAGTGTTAGTACGAGTAATGATAGCGTTGAAAAAATATCAGACAACAAAATCTTCTTCATACATACACGTACACTAATTAACGATATAGAAACTCGAAGATAAAGAATTATTTAATTACTCGTGCATATTTGAACGAAATACGTACGGGTGTCCTCTCGTCGGGAAGTGTCGTCGACGTATCAATGATCGGCCTCTAAAACAATGGCAAACTAAACATAGCGGCATCCAAACGGAAAAGTGTTTTGCTCAGCGTTAAGGAACAACCATAAATCTGTAAGGCCACAGCAAATCAAAATTCAGAAAGTTTTTGAAAAAGACCGAAGCATTTTACAGATCGATTCATTTTATTCCATTTATCCTGCAAAATGCCACAGTCTCTTTCGCTAAATAAACAAAATTTGTTTTTTTTTGTTTTGCGTTACAAAGCATAATTACAAAAAGAAAAAACAAAAATCGAGAGAAAAGAAGTATCCTTCCGGGAAACACAATCTGAAATAAAATGTCTTTCACGAGAAAAATAAAGAAATTCCATGTCCATGCTACACATCCAGATGTTTAACACGTGGGTGTATTAAGGTGTTTAAGTACGTTAAGACTTGGCTCATGCAGGAAAAATCCTTACGCGAGCCTTCCGTCGTGCGGATTGCCATCTTTGGGACGGTGTCCTTCGTCTGATCGAAACGTGTCTGGACAATGGCGTATCCAAGTTCTCGAGCTTACCGCTTAATCGTGCCACTTTCTTTGCCTGCAAAGCTTCATTAGTAAAAGCTACTTATCGGCTAAAAGAGAGAAAATAAAACCGATATAAACGTTATATTTGCGTTGCTATTTACTCTTGACAATATCAGTCTCAAACTCAAACGATTACTCGCGTGGACTCGTTTCATGCTGACTATTTATATCGTAATATTTTGCTTTTAACAAGTTATCGTAATATCGCGAGAATGTATATTAACTTGTAAACAATTTGTAGATATAGCGACGGTATTAATTATTTTTTTCATTCATTGATAGATTAAATGTCTATTCTGACGCAATAGGCAGTCACAAATGTATTATTTAGAGCTCTAAAAATTTGGACGACGCGTCCATTGTCCACGCTTAAATGAAAGCTGATAAAGAACACCATACATAGATGTTAACCGAGTCTGTTAATGTGGCTCCGATAGATTTGTTACTTTGTTAGTTGAAATTGAAAGTTGCTCAAGCATGTAGTTATTTAACAATTTTAGCACTCTCTTTTTATTATGTTAATTCTTATAAATAAAAATGGGCATACTTGTCATCGAAAGGGTATTTACGATAAAGCCTCTAGGTCTCGTTTCAAAATTAAGTATAACATCGATAACACTTGGACGGCCATAAAGAATCGAATAAAAATCCCGTAATTTAAAAGTAAATAAGCTCGTACAGTGAGCTTAATTCAATCGAATCTTAACTTTGGATCAAAACCTATTGGCAATTATGTATAAAATATGTTAAATTTAATAAAATGACTTACTGGTTTTTTACTGAGAAATTGTGATTGCAGAGCCAGGACATAGTAGAGCCAGAAGAGTCTCAATGCGTATCCATAAGGTAACCAATCGTTTTTGTCCGTATATTCGACGTACCTCGGTTGATTACAATTAGTATGATAAATCGCAGTGAGCGCGAAATAACGAGACCAAGTGCTATTGACTGGTATGAGTTCTTGAGGCCATTGATTTTGATAACTGAGTAGCGCTAGAATGTGTACGACCACCACGACCATAACGATTTTGCATAAAATTGCAAAACCTTTTCGTAATTCCTTGTTGCAGGCCCACCATGTGGCGGCACTGAGAAAGACCAGAAAGTAGAAAGCTCCTTCCACCGATGGCTTCAAGGATGCCGTACAGCACAAGGAGGCAAGAACCACATACGTGCCGATATGACCGAAGAAGTTGATTATCTGCATAGCGAGTGAATAGACGAATTTACATTGATTCTCAACCACTGATCGCGAAACTTTATCAAATCGATTTTAAGTCACCTTCGTAGTCCTATCCTCGGTTTTTTTGGTGGAATCATTAACGCGTTGAACGGGTACTTCCTCTTCGTCATCACCTGGTTTACGTTGGGTTAAGAAACGACATGTGACGTATATAATTATCGTTGTCGGTAAAACAATCAATTCCGGTGTCAGCCAGTAAAATACTTCCCATACCGTTGTACTATCTAGTTTTACTAAACCTATGTGTCTGAACAATTTTTCCATAAATTGACCTGCAAACGCATCATCGTTGTTTACTTCGTTTAAGTACCCTGGATTATATCATTTTCTGTCATACGTACAATCTTGAAGAAAATAACCATATGGCGGCATCGCTAATAGAACTATGTGAAACGTGAGCTGAGTAATGGCGACGAGGAAGGACAAACAGATGCTTGCTTTCAAATAAAGTCCTGTATGACCGGACATCGTTTTGCTCGTGGGCGTTGGGACTATCGGCGAGTATAACCCAAGTCCCAAATATACGAGAGATAGTCCTACCGGTCGCCATATCGTACCTTAGAGATAATCATTAAAACTTTTATTAGCTTTAGGAAGGTATGCGATGATGTCACGAATCTAAAAAAAAATTCTGTCTTTTTCGTATACACCGTTAACGAGCGAAACTTGCGATTCAACGCTTTTACAAGAGGAAGCATTCAGCGTTGAGTTTAGATACAGAATACTAATTGCTATGACGAAGTGCGAAAGAAAGATCGTCGCTCGTTGTCCATTTAAAATGCCCTAAGAGCGAACAATTATTAAAGTATTATCATAGATTGATTGTGGATTATAAAGTAACGTATGGCATTTGTAACTTTTCTATCTATATGTAATTAATAATCCGGACGCTCTGTACTATGTATACTTATTGCTAAATTTCGATATTTGACATTTTATCTTATATCGTACTCCATGTGTGCGAATTATTGTTTAATACAAAAATTTCCGAATATTTTACATAGGAGAAAATATATATATATATATATATATATACATAAAATGTATGCATACATAGGTAATATGAGTTATACGGAAAGATAAAGGAAGTTGATAACCACTTTAATTTCTTCACGAGTCTAATAATTTATCTTGTCGGCAAAGTTAAAGGTTAAAGCGGACCTAGATGAAAGGAGGATCACGAAACTCGTGCGTAATGAGGTCACACGCATAGCGGAGAGATTTCTGTCATTCCACGTTTTTTTCTTTCTTTTTTCATTTCTTTTAAATGGGATGAAACGACAATTTATAATTCGTAATTTTATCATTAATTACTTTAAACTGGCTGACTTGTTTAATCATCTGTGTTACTTTACGTAACATAAAAGAAATTCTTGTATACTATGAAATTACAAAAGAGAATATTTAAGAGAAATGGACAACGTCGAGCGTTGTGACAACGTCGACGAACGATAGGGAAACGAAAACTTAGGTCATCTAATTTTAGGCAACATTTAGGCACACTGGTCAAAAATGTCGCGACGAATGTCTACTAGAGATTACATAAAAACTGAATTACCAATTCTAATATAAGACTATAATGGATTAAAAGAAATATTTTACAGTGCAGCAATACGCTTTCGATATTACAGAACTGATAATGAGTTTCTATTTCTGTTCGTGACGCTGACAGAAAGAACAAACCGTTTTTCCTGTGATACAGAAACAGACATTTACAACGAACTAAAGGTTCGCACGATCTAAGGTCATTAATCCGTTGTTAAAACCATTCTGATGGCGTGATGTCATCGAACATAGCTTTTATCTATCTTTGTTCGAATAGTAATAAAAATCGTTGCTTTTTTTCGTTCGATCGGAGACCATTCCAGCAAATTGCAGTAAATTATTTTCTTCTCTCACCATTTTAATTAATCAACGATTCGTTTCGCATAGTTAACTTACATCCTGCTAATATGGCCGGAAATAAGACCCTGAAAAGAATGACGTTGAACCAATATCTCGTCATGACTCGATCCACACGGTTGGTCTTTCACCCTGAAACAAGAAGAAAAGGAGACGATTCAACCTGATTAAGGACTCAAATACATATTGAGATGTGGTATTATTCTCGTCAATTCTCTCCCTCTCTCGCTACAATCGATACAGCACTGCTGCAGTCGAATGCCTTTAACCTTGTTTTACTAGGAGACGCAGTGCTGACATTTTAAAGATCGCCTTTACAACAAAAAGGTAGCAATAAGTGCTCAGATAGGAACGAACATAAACATCAGAACGATCGAACGTAAAAGCTTAAAGGCTTTCGAAAGCAACGTATGTTCGTTCGTGCTTCACTGCCAAAAAGATAACGGTTCCGTTTTGAGAATCGATTTGTATCGAACCACATGGCATGCTTTAGAAAACGATGGGACGGTATTTTTTCTTCAAACGCGTTTGCGTACAACGATAATGGAGCACAAAATAACATTGATGATACGTGACAGGAACAACAATCGCACTTTTCCGACTCCATTTCCTGGTTTCGTCATAGATATTCTTTCCATGAATGAAAATCAGTACAAATTCATTCGGTTTTATTCAAACGCCAAATCTTTACTCCTAGTCTGTGCTTTCTATTTGCGAAGACGAATCAATAGTGATGTTTCTCACTGGTAAATGATCTTTATTAACGATGAGTAACGATAAAAATCATGCGTAGAGGTCTTCTACGAAACGGCGAAAAAGTAATGGCACACCCAATTTAATTACGGAGCAATTACAGGGAAAAAAGGAGAAGGTTCGTCATTCCATCGGGAGGTGCGCCGACTTCTCTTTCACTGTACGACACGAAATGATAGATTCGAATTACCTACGGGATTCGCGATTACATACTTGGAAGAAAAAAGAAAAAAATGAACTCGCTCTCAAAATTATCGAAAAGAGAAAGTACGCAGCGAAAAAAGAACGCGTGATAATGGCTAATATCGACAACGAAGAGATTACGTACGCATACATACGTGGCCACATTTTTCGTTGCATTGACGCACAATTTTCTTGTACGGCCTATTATCTGATATATCAATATAGTAATCTCCACTATCGAATACGATCTAATAAGTTAAACTTGATTACCACAAATTAACCATGAAAATGTTTAATGATATCGACTCGATCTCGAGCTTGTTTTTTCATAGAATGTCTTTTAAAGAGAGCGACGAAAGTATCATCGCCGAAAAGTCGTTGATTTTAATATTTTTCTACTCGCAAAGTCCTTTCTGCTCAAACAAATTCGTTCATTATCGTTCGTTTCTTTCGTGATAACTTTATCACAATTTTTTATTTCCGGCTTAAAACGCAATAACTATCCATATGAAATAACAAAGGTGTTTGCTGTAACAGAGAAATGATACATATATATATATATATGTATGTACATTTTATATTGCTCAATGGATAGAATACACGTATCTAGCTATTCGTGACACGATCGATCGTATCTAGAATAACAGCGTGGCCAGAACTATCGCTTTCCTATGACCGTTCGTGAACTCTTTGTTCGTTAGATACGTATTTCTTGATTCAGCGTAATGACTAATAATTGACCGGTTTTTATTTTATCTTCGATCGACTTTAGACATTCACTTTATCTTCTTTAATCAATCATATTTCGTGTTTTTCTCTAATTAATATTGGAGATTTCATTTTAAATGGGAGAGGGGGGGAGAGAGAGGGAGAAGGAGAAAATTGAATTATCTTGTACTACGCAATCCGAAAAAGAAGAAGTTATGGCGGCTCGTAAACCAATACCGTCTCGATGATTTTCAAATCTTTTACGACCCTGCGAGACGTACTACGATCCTAGGATAGCCATTTACGGAAGGGTGTGCACACGAGAATGACGTGATGTATGTTATGTTTTGCGTGCTAATACTCATGACATGCGACACGATTAATCAAGGGAGTGTGTCAAATTTGAAACGGCTTCAAAGTAGATATAAGCATAGAGTTAAATTGTACTTTTATATTTAATTGCAATTACCTAATCTAATCTCCCCATCTCTCTGTCCTTATCTCTTTTTTTTTCTGCATTAAAAGTGGAATGGGAATACGCTTAATACGATAAGGGTAATTGATTTTTTCTTTATAACTTGCCATGAGATATATACATACATACACACACACACACACACACACATATATATATATATATATATATCCATGCATATATATATGAAACGACATGAGAAAAGCCGAAAAGAGTATTAAACGTTGAGACAAACAAGGGGCACCATACGCTGTTTTATCGCGCGAAGATTCAAAGAACGGTGGGAATTTATTTATTATTCGCATTGTGCACGTATACGTAGGCGCATACATGGACGAGAACATAGGTGCTGTCTTTATAAACAGATCGATGAACGGCTTTCGGAAACTGTGCCAACAGTTCAATCTCGGCGACCTCGACGTGTTCTGTTAAATCGTAAAACCTTGTAAATGTCAACTCATTTACGACTATTCGCATTTCGGTAAGGAAGGGGAGAGACTTTTCTCGGTTCGCTTTATGACGATAAATCGCAAGAAAAAAGCACGGCGGATGATAGATAGTCATCGAGAAATCGATAAGAAAATCAAGCCGATTGATCTTCATAGAAAGTATCTTTGAATCAATTTATAGATCAATGATATCGTTGAATTGTACGATTTATTTGTTCTTTAATTATAAGAAATAACATTCGAATTTACTCGCGAGCGGTATATACGTTGTCACGTAATATATAACAACAATAATCGCTGTATCCTGGATGAGATCATTCAAATGAAATAAAATAAAATAAGTTGATACTTTGGTACCAAGTTCCGAGAAATTGTAATAAATCAGATAGAGAAGGCACGAACGTAATATGTACCAAAGAGATTTACCAAAAGGGTACCGCCTCGATCTTTTATCGTACACATTGCCAGTCCTAATTTTATACGTGGTTCCGCTTTCTACGAACGGTCGAATTATGAAGCGAATAATAAAAACTTTTTGCACAAGCACGACACCCATTAGAATGGAACTCGTGGAATCGAAACGTAGAATTTGGAAATAAAGGAAAACACTTAACCTCTACGAAGAAAATATGGAAACAAAGGAAGATAAAGGATTAAGAAATATGCATAAATACCTTGTACCTTGTATGGGATTGGGGATTTTAAAACATTTCCTTTTAGAAACTTTCTCCCAGTTGTTTTTTGACCGATCGAATCTCTCGAAGAGAGCAATCAAGATGCGCTCTCCTAGTCCACTCGCGAGCACCCCGGCATCAAGTAATAAATGTATCACGAATTTTCTTATCACCAAACGCTATGTTATATTTACCGTTTTATCATTTATTTACTTACTTTCCTTAAAAGTTTCTACGATTAAGTCGTACAATTATCTTAGAACGAATCGCAATCAGGTTTGGTTAGGACCGTCGAAACGTAGGCCCGCTTTAGAAGACACTACGCACACGAGAGTTGGCTCGCGCTCGATTCTCCTCTATACGTTTTATTATTTTACGTTAAGCGACTCTCGGAGAACACGCATCCCGTTGCCGCAGCCGGCACGTTACTACCGAAGCGATAAACACCACTTGTTTCGAAACATCTCCTTTCTGCGCGACATGTCAATCCCTACTACTACTGGCGCTCACCGCGTAATCCAACGGCGGACAGAGCGGCAATTCGAGCATGCGCCTTACAGCGTTCGATGCTGTCTCACCGTCAGGATCGTACATATTGGTCTTACAACTTTGGTGAAGGGACGAAAAGTATCATTTCATTTTAACAAATATTTATTCAGAATCCATATAAGTAATATCAATTGCTCTCCCTTACGACATATACGTATATTATATCCTATTCGATCTGAACGCCTTCCATCGTGATATTCCCTCCTTTCTCTTTCAGTACATAAAGTCACTTTCTAGATTATTTTTAAACGTCAAGTTGCTTCATCATCCAGTGAAAGAAAGCAAGAACCGTGAAACTGAAAGTCAATGGTACGCAGGTCGCTTTGATCCATTCCCAGATACTGCAAATTAATGGATGAACGATAGCCGTCCGAATCATTTCGAGGAAACCATATCAATTAACCATTGATTAAAACTAAATGGATTTATAATAAAATGTAATTACGGACTAATGTATTTACGGATTTCTTTCCGATCACCTGAAGATATTTTTTTTATTTGAAAAAGGAAAAGAAAAAAACCCTACGAGGGATTATCGAAGATGGTTAATTCAGAAAAGGGTATTTACTTGTAGGGATCGTCGGAAACGGAGAACGGCGACGTCACCGGAATTACTCCACATTCGGATATAACTACCGGTTTGACCGGTTTATCATAGACGTCCGTCTGTGTCAGTTCGATTTTGAAAATTACGCTCTGTCCTTCAATCACCTGTCGAATTCAACATTTTGTTGAAAAGTTACGTATAAAAGTGAAGGATATAAATTCTTCTCTAATATATCCTTCGTTCTTTACCTTCCCAAAAACGGTATGCTTTCCGTCTAACCAAGGCGTAGCAACGGTCGTAATGAAAAATTGACAACCATTAGCATTTTCACCAGCGTTTGCCATACTAAGAAAAAATGGTCCGGTATGTTGTAAATCAAAGTTCTCGTCGTCGAAATATTTCCCATAAATACTGATAGATCCAGTACCATCGCCATTCTCGATATCACCGCCTGAGATTCGATTTGTTTATATGATCGATTAATGTGCAACGTAGGAATAATTAATGATACCTTGAATCATAAATTTCTTAATAATACGATGAAAGGGCGTGCCCGCGTAAGTTCTCCCATCTATACCGGTCGTAGCTATCGTAAGAAAGTTCTTCACTGTTTTTGGAGCGATATCCCCGAACAAGCCTAAAACGATTCTTCCGGCGGGATGATCGTCTATCATCACGTCGAAATATACCTTATCGGTGACCGTAAAAGTAGCAGCCTGCAAGAAAGATAATTCTTAAAAGTTAAATTTCCATTTGACGCGTTTATTAACTTTTATCGGTCTCTAAGGCACAATATACTCATAGAAAAAACAAGTTTTACGAAGTGTCGCTTTGATCATTCGCAGGCTCTTCTCTCGCGGATAGATTTCTATCTATGTGCAAAGCGAATACCACCTTTCATTTTGAATAGTTCGACGACGCACAACGAGAGATATAAAATTTCAAACACAAGTTCTGCAAGAGCGCATGCGCGTACGCATAAGAGAACGAGGGAAACCTTATATCTGATATGTACGAACGCGGGATCACGATATCTGGTCGTTCATTCGACTTTTCTGATCTCATTCTTTTTAACCGTTTAATTCCATAGGGATATATACTTGCGATTGCTTAATCGACCACACGAACGATATAAAACGATGACGATTCTCATCGAGATGATAGAGGTATTTTGATAATAATTTATTGACCGCTTAAAGTCGACTTTTTTACCAAAATGTAATTTTATCTTGACTTTACTTCAAGATCATTTATTTTGCAATGAAACGATATGAAATGTTGTGCGTATCAACGAAAGAACATTCACAGGACGGAATAGTGAAACCATATAATTGCTCCGACCTATCTCTGTGGAAACCTTCAAGTGAAATGTATGTCAAGAATAAATGTCAAAGGAAAAAATGAACGTGAACATTTAATGAGAACAAATTAATATGTATCACTGCGAATGGGTAGCAAGCGATTTAAGAAAAATTTATTAAGAATATTATCTTACGGAATGGTACCTCGTTGTGTAAAACAAGAGTAACTAGGTAAGCAACTGTTAAAAAACACCTCATGGTTTTACTCAATGAGTAAAAGCTCAAACACATGGAATCCTATTTACTTTCATTCAGACCGAAAAATAAAAAAAAGAGAAATCACAGCTCTTCGCAAAAGTTTTTGTGACGTATATCGAGATGTCACACATCCACTTTAGATATGTACGATAGTTTTCGTTGAACGGTCAACGCGCTTCTGTCCAAGTCAAACTCGACCGAATGAATCGCGCGTCTGCGCTCATTCTCACGTATGCTTTCGAAAGATCCAATTAGATGAACTTCCCTTCCAATTTCGTTTTATCCTTCGTATCCACTTTTCTATGGATAAGTATCGATTTCATTTCTTATACAAAACAAATTACATGGCGTTTATTGTTGCATAGGAAAGTACATTTTGTAATTGATTATTCATTCTTAATAAAGTGCTTAAATATAATAAAATGCGATTTTACTCGCGTGTCATTATATATAATTAGTAACGAGTAGCATTATTGATACAACTGACGGCATGGCAACGATTGTTTCGTAAATCGAAAGAAGAAAACTACTTGTGACAAGTGATCGGATTTTTTAATATTTCAAAAGGTTTTTTGATAATCTATAAATACATCAACGATATTCGATGCGAATAAAATAAAATACGATTCATAATATATATTCGTTTTTTTTTTTTTTTCTTTCCTTTAGCATGGCAACAAAAGGTAAAGGCAAAAGAAAAGGATCTTCCAGCGACAATAAGAACAATGGTAAATCTGGCAAGGGAAATAATGGAAAGAAAGGTAAAGGTGCAAGAAGAACAAAAAAAAGTGGTGGAAGAATGAAATTTACTATGGATATATTCAATGAAGAAGCCATGGAGAATGCTTATTATACGTGTCACAATATCATGGATGTTTTAAAATGTCGAGGATTCCCCTGGCCAGAAGCACAAAAGAAAAAGAGGAAGAAGGGAAGAAAGTGAGAATTGCTTTACAAATTTGTATATTGGAACAACATATACCTATGACTATCCTCAGTTTTTTTCTCATTCATTTCCTTCTTTGATTGAAAATTAGAGAAAATTATACATGTATACCTTTTTGCAATCACATTATATACTATGTATGAGTTTATGAAAAATTAGCTTAATCACGTCTACGATTTGCGATATTCCTGTAGTACTCCTCTACATCCAATTCCGAATGTGGTATCATAAATGGACCATTAAACACACAATGTACAGTTACAGTTTGACAATATGAGAGATTAGGCAATAACTATAAAAAGGAATAATATTAATATAAATCTAATTTTCAATCTACAATGTTACGAATTGCTGGATACTCACTTTTGGCGTCAATAAAAAATATTGGGAACTACCTGGCTTTCCTGTTATTTTAACCAGCAGTTCGAAAACTCTCCTTTCGTTAATTGCATCCATTCCCTGAAAATATAATCAACGTAACATATCAAATAAATTCGTAGATTTGATTTGAAAAATACCTGATTAATTTCATCGACACAGCGAAAGGGCACTCTAGATAATTCTTGAAGAGAAATCATATAGATTGCAGTTGTTAATGACCTTTCTCCACCGCTTTGATGGTGCCTCGTCAATTCCTGTAGCTCGTCTGTATCTCGGAATTTGACTCGAATTTTCAAACCGTACTTATCAAAGTCCATCTGAAAATATAATTTTCAAAATCCAAAATTCTAGGATAATTGTCCTATGGGAATTATATGATACTAACGATATTATCTCCATGACAAAGTGTAACTTCGCCAGCACATTTCATATTTGAAAAATGTGAACTAAAATTCACATTTATTTGTTCGATTAATCTCTCCAAAGGCGATAACCATTTTTCTCGTAATTTAACGGTGTCTTGCGTAATGGATTCCAATTGTAATTTTTCCCTTTCTATGGATTCTTTTAAACTATGCATGTCTGTTTTTATCTCCTCATATTCCCGGTATATCTAGTAATATGTCGTATAATAAGAAGCGATATGAGAAACATGTGTTATAAAATATACATATATATATATATATATATATATATATATACATATAAAATAATAACAATAATCAAACGACTTTGTTTCTGATACTTTACATTTTCGGCATCAACATTTTGTTTCATACAAAACACCTTGGTTTGCGCTACGGCTATTTCTTTATCTATTTCTTCAATCGTAAGTGGTAATTTAGCAAATGTTTGATTTATAGGTTTGAATTCTTCGTCTTGCGGGCTAAGACCGTTGGTAAGATCTTTAGCTTCGTTGTATGCTTTGATCGCTTCTTGCTTTAACGGTTTGTAATCGAGTTCAATCTCTTTAAACGTTTTCTCTGCCTCGGATAATTTCTCTTTCAATTCTTGATTTTCATTCTCTCTAGTTATTAAAAGCTGTTTGTACAAATATAATTTTAACTTGGCTTGTTCGTTAATCGTTACATATTTCAAACAATCCTTCAATAATGAATTATATTCTCTGTATTTATCCAACTGATTATGTACAATGGTCTGCAAAAATATAGGTGAATAAAACTAATAAGTCCAAATACCACGCATTTTTAAATAAACTGTAAAAACCTGAATTTTTTTATTATGCATCGCAATAATATCTTCTCTACTCGTTCGTTCATTTTCTAAAATTTTAATCTTTTTATCAGCTATAGATATTCTGTTTCTCAGCGCTTGCATTTGTTGCAGGTTATGTTGGTACTTTGTTCTAGTTTCACGATATATATCCAATTGCTTATTCTCTTTACACATCTTTTCTTCGAATTCTTTTACATTACGCAGAACTTCTTCCCTTTTTCCCTCAAGAAGATTCAATCTAAAGAAATGTATTACTTTCATGATCAGCATAAATGAGTTCATAAATGAGTTCATATATCAGAGTATTATAAGTATACCTCTTTTCCATTTGTTCCAATTTATTGGTATCCAATACTATTGATAATATCCCATTTCCAACTACTTGTATCTTTTTAATAGATCTTTGACCGGTATACTTGGACATATTCACAGAATATATATGATTTTCTACAAATGTAAATAATACATAATAGTATGAGAAGTGCGACAAATTATGTGTAATTATTCTCTGTATATTGAAGATGGAAAAAAAAAAAAGAAAAAAATAACGATAGATCTGAACATTCGGATCGTTAATACGTATTACCCACCGCTAAAATAACAAGATAAACTGTGCGGTATATTATCCACATTTTCTTCGACAGCACGCGATCCAACCGGTATATTATTCAAATTATATGATGGTATTAAATACTTCATTATAGCAGATGGCGCGTCAAAGAGCGAACCTAGATAATACTCAAAGCCGAATCTTCTAATATTTTTTAATGGTATATTCGGTTCCATGTACACTTTTTTGTTAGGATCAGAATGTACCACGTTCACTTGTAATTTCTGCTGATCCCTCAAACACTTTGTCAATAAATTCATATCCTCTTTATTTTCGCAGACAAAGGCTATTAAATCTCTATGAGGAATTATCCTTTCCAAATATTTAGAATATGTAATATCTTTAACATTAATCAACGTTAACATGGGCTCATATATTTTTTCCCGAAATTTATCTTTATTTTCACGCAACCACAGTACACCTTTGTACGTATCAAGACTTCTTTGCCTTAAAAGCTCCAATCGCTTAGCTTCAATATTAATGGATTTCTGTTCTTCTTTTACAGCTAAAATAGAATTAAATTTATAATATAATATCACAAAACAGTTTGATCAATTTTTGACATAATAGTAAATCACAGAGACAAATACAAATTCTAGATATTAGTCTTCGATTCAAGTAATAATGAAAAGTACCTCTGATCTCTCGTTCAACTCGTTCGTGTTCCTGCTTGCAAATGATTATCTGATCTGACAATTTACTATTAATATGTTTTTGCTTTTCCAAGAGAGACAAAATTTCTTTCTGTTTTATTTCTAACGTCTCCTCTATATAAGTTTAAAGGTATACACGTTAAATCACATAGAATTGAAATGCATATGTATGGTAGACAAATTGCATAAATTACATACCCGAACCAATATCCTTGATCATTAGACTTAAATCATTATCCAGTTTATTTTTTTGCTGCTGCGCAAGATTTATATCCTGATCGCGATTTTGTTCCGCTTGTATTCTACGTGAACATTCGTTTTCAATTTCTTTAATCTCATTTTCAATCTCAAGAATTTTCCTCATTACTTCTTTGGCTTTAAATGTCGTCCCAATGACTCTGTTTGAATTCTAAAAGTACAGGATATTAATGACATTGAGCTTCCTATCCTATAAACATTTCTATAAATTATGATATATCAGAAGTAATATACTTACATGGTCATTTACTATGTCTTGCTGCATGTTAATGTCCGATTGTATTTTCCGTATCATCTCATTTATCGGCATGAGTTTTGCTTGTACAGATTTTACTTTATTTTCCGCTACGTCTCTCTTCTTCTTTACCTATTTATGTGAAATAAAAATATTTTAACGAAAGGTCTGCAAAGATACACAATAATTGGATTTAATATTGAATTTGGAAGAATTACTTCGACCAATTGCTTTCTCTTTTGATCATATTCCATCCAAGCCTTTTTTTGTTTCAATGTCAAAATTTTATTCTTTATTGCTTTTTTCTCCTTGATAGTACTGACAATTCCCTTCAAATGTTCATATTTTTGCGTTCTAGTTTCTAACAAACGTTGTTTACTTGCTAATTGTGTTTCTAAATCCTTATGTTGAATACGATACTCTTTCAACTTTATATGATATTTTAATAATATTGGATCACCAACTGATCTTTCCGTACTTTCCAACAATTCTTGGGCATTCATTTTTGAAAAATCATGAACTTTGTCTTGCGGAAGAAACTGACACAGATTGTCTACCTGCAGGGACGAGCAAAGAAAAAAAGAATTTTAATAATATATCATAAAA